TTTGTATCCTGGGCATGGTCCAAGCAGCTCTACCTCACCGACAGCGGATACTGCGTCAGAAACTTTACTGCCATTCTGAATGGAGTGACTATTAAGCCTCGCCAGCACCGTGACCTGTGGACAGCTATCGCCACAGGAGTTGCTGCAAAAGGCTCAGATTGTTTCCGCATTGAAAAGATCAAAGCACATCGCAAAAAAGATGAAGTCCCCCCAGAAGATCTACCTGACTGGGAGGCAAACAAACGAGCAGATGAGAGTGCTGTCCAAGCTGCACGCCAACACAGTGTGCCAGAGGATATCAGACACCAACATCTGCGAGATCAGCATCTATGTTATACTCTACAGCACACAGCCACGATTGTCTTGGCTGCACGTGCAAAGCAACTTCAAGCTATGGGAAGAGATACTCATCATGCCCGATGCGCTCAAGCCCAAGCTATGCAAAATGCCGAACTGGAAGGTGCAGACCCCCAATGGCCAGATGAGGATGCTGAGGATCCTTGGGCTCACCTCGGCATGGACGATGACGGTACGAATGAAGCAAGTGAACAGCGAGCTGCAACGCCCCTGGTCCTCAGGACCGAGGCATCGCCAACGACTGTTGCACCGACCCTGACACAGGATGGTTACTCTGCCAGCCCGACGGCTGCAGCTACAACGGCAGTTGCGGACACCCCTCGCAGTTGTCAAAGTGAAGGCCAACCTGCACGAACACCAATGCGCCGCCTGAGGAGCAAAACATCGCGACCTACGGCATCATCATGTACTACAGATACGCCACCGCCAACCACCCCAGCCTCATCATCACGTCTGGCTGTGGACCCTGCAACATCAGCGTCGTCAAGCTCCTCGTGGGTACGACCAGCTTTGGATCAGATGACTACCAATCCCCTGACCTGGAGTCCGAAGATGGCCTTTCCTGGTTATCCCTGGGACCCTGTCGAGGTGAACCTGCCAGAATGGGAATTCGAACCACAGATTCCAGAGATACTGACAGGCAAGGATTGGTATTACCAACAGGCTTTATTTCCTGCGATTGTTTGGTACTTCTCGCAACTTCGATGGGCTGCTGATGACACACCAATGGCACCCATGTCTGTTTCTTGGGCGGAGTTGGCGATTGACTTTACTGTATGTACTGGTTTACCGTTGGTCACGCCGGCGGAAGATCCACAGACTGCTACTCTCGAACGCATGGCGAGATACTTCTCGACAGCTGCTACTCGGATGGGCTACTTATGCAAGTGCAAATTGGGACCACGTGAATGTTTTAAAGAGATTCGTGCCTTATCACCACTGGGTATACGTGCAGTGCCTGGCTTCAAGTGCAGGCCAGTGTTTGTGAACCACCAACACACGATGCGAGTACTATACGCTGTGGCTCTGGCGACGACGGAGAAGACAAAAGGCATTCGAGTACAGCCAGCTTGGGGATCGGTACCCAAGCCCATATGGCAACCTCCGAAGCTAGCCGAGAACCTGGCAACTACGGTGAGACCAAGCGACATTGTTGCAAGGGCCGCTGCTGCAGCTGAACATGTCTCTGTGGTGCGACGGGCTCATCATGTCACTACTGTCAAGGTCATGCGAGCTACCATCACTTGGACGGACGAGGAGAAGAAAGATTGGGAGGGCCTCACAGGCCGAGATCTTCAGAACGAGCAGAAGAGACTTCTGCATAATCGCGAAGCACGCCAACAGGGATACCATGTACTTGCCCCTCTCAAGGGGCCGAACAAGGATCAACCTGCCAAATTGGTGTGCGTCAATTGCAATCTCGAGTCAAAAGTGAGCCAGCTTGGCTCATGGTCGCGCCTTCTTTGTCAGCCTGGAGCTCCACGTGGCCCACGTCTTGGCAAAAAGCGCACCGCTGCTGACTACGTAATCATGGTAGACGAGCATAACAAGAGGACCAAGATTCCTGGTAATCGTTGTCACATTCTCACACATTATCGAGCTGACCAAAAGGACAAGGAATTGGTATGTACTCTCTGTGGCTCCACAGCACCGACAAGAAGATTTCAGCAATTTACTGCCGCTCTTTGTGGAGGGCGTTAGGACGCAAAATCCAGGCTAACTACCTGGTTTAGTCGCACAGCCACTGTCCACCCCTCAGGTGCACCTGCCTGTTGGACTTAGGTCGCTCGCAGGACAACAGCGCGTAGGGGTGGCGGTGAGTCTGGTTTTGCTGGATGCACTTGGTTTGCTGGATGCATTTTTTGAATATCACCGAGGGGGAGGACCCGTAGGGCCATTACTGGTGGCCACGATGCCTTAATCGCGACGGAGCGTGCTCCCCCTCGGTCGGCGCTGTGATTATTTGGTGTTGAGACATGGTGGGCTCAAATATTTTCGTATGTCCACTGTATATTGGCTCCTTGCATTGTATGCGAGGGCAGCTTCATATGGGTTATCAGCTGAAGAGGCAGCCAACGGCAGTTTTTTCCACTTGGAATCAAGCATGAGTTACATCAAGATTGACTTCTCATATGTTATGGTATACACAGAGTGGAACATCAGTGTCCGTACTGGTATTTCCTCACATATATGCTATTGTTGAACCTTTCGTCGCCGAGAGGGCACTTGAGGCAACAAAACTTTCTCAGTTACAATGCAGCAGGGAAGACTTTGCGATTCCCTCAGCCAGTACCTCAATGTATGGGAGTATGGGCTGCTACTATTACATACTATCCTGATGAAATGGTTCACTGCGGACGAGTGCCAAGGTGAAGGATGAGAACAAGGAGGAGGAGGAGGAGGAGTTCAAGGAGGAGGAGGAGGAGGAGGAGGAGGAGGAGGAGGAGGAGGAGGGGGAGGACGATGAGAAGTTCGAGGAGTATGAGGAGGAGGATGCGGATGAGGAGAAGAAAGGAGGAGGAGGAGAGGATGAGAGGGAGGAGGAGGAGGAGGGGGGAGGGGGAGGAGGAGGGGGCGGAGGAGGAGGGGGAGGGGGATGAGGAGGGAGGAGGAGGAGGAGGAGGAGGGCGGAGGCGGAGGGAGAAGGAGGAAGAGGAGGAGGAGGAGGAGGAGGAGGAGGTGGGAGGAGGGGGAGGAGGAGGGAGGAGGAGTTGGAGGAGGTTGGAGGATGAGGAGAGAGAGAGAGAGAGAGAGAGAGAGAGGAGAGAGAGAGAGAGAGAGAGAGAGAGAGAGAGAGAGAGAGAGAGAGAGAGAAGGGGAGGACAAGCTAGGTGCGTAAGCGTCGTATATCATGTCCTGCCCCTCCCTCCTATGCTCACCATTGCGTAGATCTCCTCTCTATTCGTATAGTCGGATGTCGAAGAGGGAGTGCGCGATGCATGGTATGGCACGGCATTGCCTGGCATAGAGCACGGCCACAGCCGAAGTCGTCGTGTCAAGAACGCGATTCATTTCGACAGCAAGGTCAAATGGACACCAGAACTGACAGGACGGGAACTGCAAACGAGTGGTTTGGACAGCGGGAAGTCCAACACGAGATCAGCGTTGCAACGGGAACACGAGTTCGAAGGACCGAATCCGCGGAAGTGAGACTAGCGCTGCAGTGATAACACGATTTGGAAGGACTGGAAGCGCGGATCCGAAGCCAACACTGCAGCAGGAACACGACTTGTAGGAAACGAACGATGAAATGAGGTCAGCGTTGCAGCGGGCACATGGTTTGGGAAAACCGAGAACGGGAGCGTTGAGCCAACGCTGTAGCGGGAGCGCCATGCTGTAAGGATTGAAAACGTTCGGATGGGAATCGCACGCGAATTCTCAATGCGGCGGCATCCTCTGTGTAAAACACAATACTCGGAGGAGGCCACGACAGTTGACCTGCGTTTTCGGTGGAGAGGAGAGTAACCTTCATACTGTGTGAGGAGGAGGAGGAGGATTCGGATTCGGAACGATTGCGAAGCAATATCTATAATCAACTACGCTAAGGCCACCCCCTGAGCATACCCGTGAACGAGACGACCCAGTACAAGAACCTCAGCTGAAGGTACATGAAGAACCCGACAACGAAGTCTATGGAACGCAAAGCGTTGTCACAAGCGAAGTCTATGGCACCCCAGCAAACGAAGCATAACAAGCTAAACTGAAACGGACTTGGTTCGATTCGGCCCTCTCCGCAGGTCAACGGGCTACCTCTCACGTATATCATAAAGATCGCCTCCTCCGCAGACAGCCTCGCAAGACAGCAACGCAGCCAAAAAATACCACCCAAACTGTTCATTCCTTCCAGCCGAGCCTTCTGCACCAACTTGAAACACTGCACAAAGAAAGCGAGTCATAACCACCAAGAGCAAGTACAATACCCTCCCCAGGCGGAGATGGGAGATCCCAGCGTTGTAGCTGATGATGTCTGGCTCAAGCTTGACGCACGAAAAATGGAGGCCCAAACCCCAGAAACCGAAAGACATACCCTCCCCTGGCGGAGCTGGGAGATGCCCAAACGATAGCTGACGAAATGAGCCCATGGTGAAACATTCCAAAGCCACACCACATGCAGCCCAAACTGGAGAAGCGGCACCACGCGAAACCCGTAGTGATACCCACCTTTTTGTTTGGTCTGTGCCAAAGCCCCGGAATAACAAAACTTGAAATCGTGAATTCGCTCCCCTTCGTCAACAGGAAAGGCTGGACGATACCGCTGTGAGCAAACGACTCCCAACACGGTCCAGACGCCCTGAAGTCCCCCAAGCGCCGACGAGAAGGCGGGAAGCTGGGCTAGCGCGAGCGAGTAGGAGCCAAGAGATGGTACCACGCGCCCCGCCCACCTGTGCTTGAGAGGAGGAGGAGGAGGAGGAGGAGGACCAGGAGGAGGAGGAGGAGGAGGAGGAGGAGGAGGAGGAGGAGGAGGAGGAGGAAGACGATGAGAGGAGGAAGGAGAGGAGAAGGAGGAGGCGGAGGAGGAGGAGGAGGAGGAGGAGGAGGAGGAGGAGGGCCACCCCCTCCATTCCGCCCTCCCGCCCCCCCCCTTCGCCTACGCGTAAAGCCGCGGGGCCGCCCGCCGGATGCCCGCCCCCGCGCCCGCGCACAGGTGACGGCGTCCAAGAACGCGGGCGGCTCGTACGAGGACCCCCGGCAATGCCTCGAGGCGGCCTAAGCGGGAGCGAAGCGATCCGACTTGCCTCCGCTCGCACTTCTTTCCCCCGTCCTCCTCCTCCTCCTCCTCCTCCTCCTCATTCTGCCCACCCTCCTTCCCGCCTGCCTGCTCCCTCGCTCCGACTCCTCCTTGCCCTGTTCTCCCCTCCCTCCACCCCACATCTCCCCTGTCAGCACCCCCCTCTTGCCTCCCCCCGTCCTCTCCCCCCACCGCCGCCGCTTGCCCCCGCCTCCCCCCCCCCTTTCGCCCCCATCCCGCTCCTTCACACCCGATGCGGCGGCTCCAGCCGCCTCCCGCTCCCATCCCCCCCTTGGTCCGAGGACGGCATGAACAAGGGCGATGGCAAGAAGGCGGCCGCCGCAAAGGCGCCCCCCGGGTGGCAGGGGGCGTCGACACGGGGGGAACCTTGGCGGAGGGGGGGGGGAACATCGACCGCCCAGCTGATCTGGGCCTGTGTGCCCCGACCTGCCCCGGAGTGCGGGAGCTCCTCATCGCGGGCCGATCGCCGATCTATCCGAGGTGTACCGTCGATTGCAGTTCAGTGCTTGCCCCCGAGTCAGCCCTCCCCCCCCTCTTCGGCTCCCTTCAGGAGGGCTAAGGCCCCGCCATTCGGGAGTGGAAGGCTCGGGGATTGACGTCGCCCGCCGCAGTCTCAGCCGCCCGCCCGTCGTCTTTGTGGCCGTCGTCGTCGTCGTCGTCGTCGCCGCCGCCGCCGCCGCAGTCGCCGTCGCCGTCGCCGTCGCCGTCGCCGTCGCCGTCGCCGTCGCCGTCGCCGTCGTGGTGGTGGTCGTCGTCGTCGTCGTCGCTGTCGTGGTGGTGGTCGTCGTCGTCGCCGTCATCGTCGTTCTCGTCGTCGTGGTCGTCGGCGTCGTCTGACCGTCGTCGTCCTTGTCGTCGTCGTCGGCGTCGGCGTCGGCGTCGTCAGTATCGTCGTGGTTGTTTTTGTGTTGGTGGTGGTCGGCGTCGTCGGAGGCTGATGATGGCGATGATGATGAGGAGGAGGACGCCCGGCGGCGTCGGTGTGGCTGCTACTCCTCGCCTCCTCCCCTCCCTCTTTTGCGCCTTCTGCATCCTCCCCCCGCTCGTCTCCCCTCCGCACCGCCCGCTCCTCTCGCCTCCTACCCGCCGCTCCCCTGCCACGCCGGAGGGCTTTGTAGGGTGCCAGTGGACCCCGTGTTGCCTTCGCTGACCCCTGGTGCCGGTGGCGCCGCTGTGGGTAGGATCCACCTGACGTCACGTGCTCCTCATCAGCTGTGCGCTGTGTTGAGCCGCCAGGATGGCGTGGAAGTGGACGAGGGGGGGCGCGAACATATCCAGTCCCCAGGAGAGACGCGCACTCACAGGGCATCGCGGGGCCATGTCGTACTCGGGTCTTCGACGCCGAGTGCGGGGTGGTTGCGCTTCGCCTTGGGTGCGTATCCCAAACGGGCTTCTGGGTAAACAGGACAGTCCGAACAGCCCCTCCGACCCTCCCTCTGTCCCGCTTCTTCGCCTCCTCCCCTCTCCTCTTTCCCGCCCCCCCATCCCCTCCACCCCGCCTGCCCCCCTCGCCTCCACTCGGCTGTTCCCCACAGGTGCTCCCAGGGGATCTCGGGCGCTCCCAGTCGCACCTGCCCCCCAGGGCCTCCCCCCCAACGCGGAAGCTCACCCCAGGCGCTCTGGAGGCTGCCAGGCGCTCCCACGCGCGCCGCGTCCCCGCCAGGGCGGCGCACCTGCCGCTGCTGGTGGCGCCAAGGGCTACTCCATGGAGGAGGCGGCCGCCGACGACGGCGGCGACTCTGGTGGCGGCGGCGGCGGCGGCTGCGGGAACGGCCGCGGCCTGCCGTCTGCAGCGCCCGCCGCGCGATGCTTGAGGTCGATCTGCGCGTGATCTGACACCACGGCCCCGAGACGGCCAAGGAGCGGCCCCGGGTGGCTTAAGAGGGCCAAAAGGAGGCTCCCAAGAGTCTCCAAGACGGCTCTCCAACGTGCGTCCAGCAGGCTGCAAGGTCGTCCAAGAATGGCTCAAGGATGCAAGGCAGCTCCGCCATTATGCCCCCCGAGACAGGGTGCCTTACACGAGCGGTGCGCGTGGTTTTTGCGTGGCGTTTGCACGCAGTGCCTATGGTGTGCTTGGCGTGTCAGACGTAGCTTGCACACAGCTTGCACCGTCTAGTTTGCATAAGTCGCATAGCTTGTACCACGTAGCTTGCACCGCATAGCCCGCGCCACATAGTTCGCACCACATGGCTTGCACTAGATAGCTTGCACACCAGCGCTTTCACCACATAGCTCGCGCCACATAGCTGACTCCACCTGGCTTGCACCACATAGCCGTGTTGGAAGGTAGTTGAGGCTGCAGCTGGGCTCCCGTGGGAGCCTAGTTCCGTCTGTCCGCGAGCAGTGAACGCGTGCATGTGGTCAGTGTGAAACAACAAAACTTACACCACATAGCTTGCACCGCGTAGCTTGAACCCCATAGCTTTTATCACATAGCTGGCACGTTCACAAAGCGATCCGCCTCTTGTTCGGGTCCACGCTGGCATATTTGATTGTGCATCGGACAAGCTGTCGGGTATATGGATGAAGCATGTGTGCTTGCAGCACAGCTGAAGCACGCTACTCACCAATGTTGCGGCGCATGGTGATTGTTTTCTTATTCATTGTTTTGCCGATCGGCGCCGGCCCTCGCCCCCCCACTCCCCCCCCTGGAGTAGGTCTTGGCTGTTGTTGGCGCCTGTTTCGAGCAGGTGGGCCCCCCCCCATATGACGCACTGTTGCAAACCAGTCACATTAAGCAGAGGTCTGGAGCCAGACCATTCCCCTCCCCCCCCCCTTCCACCCAATGTCGAAACGCCGAGTAAGAAAACGTTCACATGACGAGCGCAAAAGGCTGATATTTCCAATTCAGTGTTCAGCGCGGACTTTCGTTTAGAACTTTACCGAATTGTGACGTCGAGCAGCCCCGCGATCAAGCCGAAGCGCACGCGAAACGCGCGTGCTTCCAGCAAGTTCAAGACGAAGCAACGGTGCTGCAAGACACCCTCCCGTCCCAGTCCCTCTCCCCATAGGCTCACACAAGCAGTCCTTTTCACTGTGGGAGGTGCCCCCCTGAACGACGGGTGCTCCATTGTCTCGCGATTCAGGCCGACAGCGCCGTTTTGAAAAGGAGCTGCCGTTCCTAGAAGGTCCGCGATGAGGTAGGGTCGTAAAGTCCGGGGACGTGTCCAGCGAGAGTGTAGCTTTGAAAGCGAGGCGCCCTCAGCCCGTACGCCTTTCTACATTTCTTGGGCACGTCGGACTCGACACCCAGCTGAAGTATCAAGCGAGCGCTCCGATGTGAGAAGGAGCGGAAGGCATCGGCGCAGCCGATGCCCAGTTCATCATTTACGGTCATCAGGGACTCTTAGCACGAAAGTCTCAAATAATTGCCCTCCATCCATGTATCATCGGCGTCACCGCAACATACTAATACTAAGTGTGCGTCGCTGGCACGGGCGACGCGCGAGCCGAGAAATCTTCCAGTGTAAGCTCCGTGGCGGGCCCTTTCTGGCCGTGGCGCGCTGGAAACGTTCTACTGCAAGAATGCTTGTGCTGTATGTTCGGGTAGGACGCGCGCCTCCGAGGAGGACGTCGGTGCAGCTGCAGGGCGCTGTTCAAGCCGACTGCGCGCGACGCCTGGGCGAGAGCCACATTTCGAGCACGAGCACGAGTTGCGCTCTGTCCGTGTAGCTGCTGGATCTGTTCAAGCCGAGTGCGCGCGAGGCTCAGGCGAGAGCCACACTTTGAACGCGGCCCGTGCTCCAGCCGCATACCATACTTGTTGGAACGTTTAAGACGAGCGTAAGCGAGGCGAAGGCTAGAGCCACAGCAAAACATTCACCTGTGGAGCATCAGTGCTGGAATCTTTTGAGACGAATGTGCGCGGCGCTAAGGCGAGATCCTCATCTTGAAAATGACCCCCCTGCATCCGTGTCACAGTTGGAAGTTTCAACCTTCGGGGTCGCAGACGGGGGGGAAGTCCCAGGCCAGAGCTGGCCTGACCCCTGACAACAAGTTGGTGGTCAGACCTTGGGGGGATGTACAGTGGAACCGAGGTATAAGATCGAGGTCGATTTGGATGTTCTTGTGCATCTTAGGGAGGGTACCCTTGGATGTTCTGCGTGTTTTGGCCAGCGGAGGGTCTCATGTTCTTGAAGGACGTTCTTCTGTCCTAGGTCCGACCGTACTCAGAAGGCAAAGAGACTCATTGTGGTTGTAGGGTTGCTTCCGGAGGCTGTGGGGATGCGACATGTGTGATGGGGCCCCCTGGAGGTTTTTGGGGCTACTGGGGATTCGTATGGGATGGGGAGATGGGGGAGCTGCAGGGGGAGGGGGGAGAAGGAGGATGAGGGGGAGGGAGGTGGGGTAGCGAGACTGATTTTTCACCATTCACGTGCAGCGGCCACCATACAAGTGGGGGTTGGCGAGACAGCCCTGAGGGTGCCTTCTTGCGTCCGAAGCCCAAAACGCACAGATGTTAAGCAGACAGCTTTTCCAGCCACGTGGGCTGAGCGGCAGGTGCCAGTTGGGAGGAGGACCCGGTGAAGGGACGACCGAGTGCATCACGGATGCTGCAGTACACCCTCTCGTCCTAAGTCTTCTCTTCACAAGTGTTTGCCGTCATGTCCTTTCATTGCGGGATGCATTTCGGGCTGAGCGCCCCTTGGTTTAGGCGAGAGCACCGTTTACAAATCATCCGCATCCATCCTTTGAGACTCGCAAATGTGGGAACATGAGGTTCAAGCACATGCCTAGCCCGAGCTTCGTGTTAGACGAGTGAACTGCCCGCCATCCGCGTGAATGGTTTACATGCTCAGCTTTCTGGTCATATGACTTGAGTCAGTTTCAAGCGATAGCTCCGTTTTGAGAAGGAGCCGTCCTCCATGCGCCAATATTGCGATGACGTCTCGAGGAAGAGCTCCATTCGGAAACAGAACCACCTTCCACCCGTGTAGTTGCATGCTGCCTTTACAACCGAATGTGTGCGAAGCTTCGGCGATAGCCACATTGCCAGCACGACCTGTACTTCATCCACGTAAATGCTGAAGTTTTTGAGCCGAATTTGCGCAGCGATAGTGCGAGTCTCATTTTTAGAATCGCCCACCATCCATCCGCGTATGTATTGCAGCGTTGTTGACGAATGTTCGCGGAGCATGCATATCTTCAGCGTCAGAATTGCTGTGGTAGTCTCACCCGAAACGTTCATTTTGAATGCCACGTGTTTGGTGGTGCGTGATTAAAGAGAGCGAAGAGGAGGATGGAGCGAGGAGGAGGAGGAGGAGGAGGAGGAGGAGGAGGAGGAGTGAGGAGAATGAGGAGGAGGAGAAGGCAGGATGAGGAGGGGGGGTGAGGAGGTGAAGGGTAGGGATGGTCTTGCGGATGAAGAGGGGGTATGAGGCGATGGCGGGTAGGATGAGGACAAGAAGGAGGAAGTTCTTGGGAAGGAACGGGATGATTCTGGTGCTAATGGTGATGATGATGACGGTGACGACGATGCTGATGATGTTGATAATGACGATGGTGATGACGTTGATGTTGATGATGATGATGATGATGATGATGATGATGATGATGATGCTGATCATGATGGTGATGCAGACGATTATGATAATGACGATGATGATGCTGATGCTGATGCTGATGATGACGATGCCGAAGGAGGACACGACGGCGAAAATGACGATGATGACGAAACTGGTGAGCATGGCGAGGATGATGCTGATACCGATGATGATGCTGCTGATGATGTTGGTGATGCTGATGATGATGATGATGCTGATGATGATAATGATGATGATGGGTATGCTGGTACTGCTGCTGATGATGATGATGATCATGCTAATGGCGATGGTCGGGGTGATGGTGATGGCGATGGTGATGGTGAGTGTGATTCTGATAATGATGATTGAGGTGGAGATGGTGATGCGGGTAACGTTGTAGTTGCTGTTGCTGTTGTTGCTGGTGTGATGGTTGCTGCTGCTGCTGTTGGTGTTGTTGCTGTTGATATCGTTGTTGTTGTTGTTGTTGTTGTTGTTGTTGTTGTTGTAATTGTTTTTGTTGCCTTTGTTGCCTTTGCTGTTGTTCTTGTTGGTGGAAGTGCTGTTGTTGCTGTGGTTGTTCCTGTAGAAGAATATTAATAACCATTGTTGTTGATCCCCCTCACCGGTAACCGCTGTATTTTTCAACTAACGTGCTTCTCCTGGGGTTCGCACCCTGTTTTTTACAAGGGAAAGCGAGGTTTCCCCAATTGTATGTTGTTGGCCCCCCGTTTCACAACAACAGCGGCTCCCGCCTGAGTCGTCCTCACAATGTATTTGAAAATCGCGCTTTCGCACGGGACTTCCTCAACATGTACACCAGAATCGCGCTCTCGCGTGGGACCCTCTCGTAATTTATTCAGACGCCGCGCCCTCGACACTCAGGAGTCACGCTTTCGCCGTGGATTTCTTTACGATTTAGTTGGGGATCGCGCTATCGCTCGAGACATCCTCGTGATTCATGCAGGAAGCACGCTTCAGCAACCCGCCTGCTCGACCTGTCCGCCTGGGCCCGCCTTCGGACCCGCCCGTCAGGGCCTACCCGCCCGATTTGCCCGTCCGGTTCTGCCACCTGTTTTCTGCTCCTTGCCCCCCTCCTGGTACTCTCTCTCGTGCTCCATCCTTCTCCCTCCCCTTGTCCCTTCCTTACATCCGTCCTCTCTTTCCCTGCCTTAGGGGCTTCGCGAAATACACGTTGCAGGTAAGGAGAATCTATCCTCAACTGGGGCTCGATCGAAGACGATGAGTGCGGGTATTGAGGGTTTGGGATATTCGTGTTGAGTGGCACGCGAGCAGATAACAGCGAACAATTTTGAACTGAATTCTTTACGCTTCGCGTATCCCCACCAGCCCATCTCAAAACAGCAACTCTTGCGAAGCATGCCGACAGTCGTGTTTTTCAGGCGTGTGTCCGCTTCCCCCCGCATATCTCCCCTGTTCCTCCTTCCTCCCGCCTCCTTGTACATCCTCCTTGTGGTGGGAGCGGGAGAAGGACGAGGCGGAGGAGGAGGGAGAGAAAGCGGTGGGAGGCAAGAGGGATTTAGCGGAGACGACGACCACAGCCGTCTTGGAGGCCTTTTGGGCCGTCTTCGGGGCCTCTTGGCGGCCCCAGGGGCTTCTAGGAGCGTCTTGGGTGCCTTGGGGGAGCCTCTTCGGGCCTCTTGGGAGCCTCTTGGAGGCCGTTTGGGGCGTCTTGGGGGCCTCTTGGCGGCTCCAGGGGCTTCCAGGAGCGTCTTGGGTGCCTCGGGGGAGCCTCTTGGGGCCTCTTGGGGGCCTCTTCGGGGCATCTTGGGGGCCTCTTGGAGGCCTCTTGGGGCCTCTTGGGGCTCTTTGGGAGGGGTCTGGGAGGAATCTTGGGGCCATCTGTCGGGCGATCGATCACAGATGGGGCGAGCACTTTTCTCCCCCCCCCCCCGTCGGGGCCAGAATCCTCGTGAGGGGTGTCGAATTTTAGCCCTCCCAGGAGTCGAAAAAGACCCCTCCAACGACCCGCGGAACGCCCTCTCCAGGCCCAGGGGGAGGGGGTAGGGGGAGGGGTAAACCCCTCCCCGAAGGGGAAGAAGGGGGGTTGAGAACAGAGAGAGCTCGCTAAACCACTCACGCCCAAAGGGCTGGTGGGATTTTGGTTTTGCTGTTGTTGTTTATGATGCTGCTGGTACTGATGATGACGATGATGTTGATGCTTATGATGATGATAATGAAGAAGATGATGAGGAGGCTTCCGACGACGATGACGACGACGGTGACCACCACGCTGACGATTACGATGACGATGCTGATGATGATGGTGATGGTGGTGATGATGATGGTGATGATGGCGGTGGTGGTGGTGGTGATGATCCTGCTGCTGCTGATAATGGTGATGGTGATGGTGATGGTAATGCTGATGCTGATGCTGATGCTGATGCTGATGATGCTGATGCTGATGCTTATGATGATGCGGATGATTGTGATGATGTTGCTGATGATGCTGATGATGATGGTGATGATTTCGGTGGTGGTGGTGGTGATGACCCTGTTGCTGATGATGACGATGATGGTGATGGTAATGATGATGTTGATGCTGATGCTGATGCTGATGATGCTGAGGCTGATGCTTATGCTGATGCGGATGATGCTGATGACAATGGTGATGCCGAGGATGCTGATGATGGTAATGACGTCGATGATGATGATGACGACAATGACGATGTTGATGTTGTTGATGATGCTGATGATGTTGCTGCTGATAATGATGGTGATGATGATGCAGTCGATTATGATAATGTCGATGATGATGCGTCTGATGATGACGATGATGATGGTGCTGATTCTGATGATGGTGCTTATGATGCCGATGATGATGATGATCATGATTATTAGTAGTAGGAGTAGGCGTAGTAGTAGTAGTAGTAGTAGTAGTAGTAGTAGTAGTGGTAGTAGTAGTCGTAGTAGTCGTAGTAGTCGTAGTAGTCGTAGTAGTCGTAGTAGCAGTCGTCGTCGTCGTAGTAGTAGTAGTAGTAATAGTAGTAGTAGTAGTAGTAGTAGTAGTAGTAGCAGTAGTAGTAGTAGTAGTAGTAGTAGTAGTCGTAGTAGTCGTAGTAGTAGTAGTAGTAGTAGTAGTAGTAGTAGTAGTAAGTCGTAGTAGTAGTAGCAGTCGTAGTAATAGTAGTATTCGTATTGATATAACTATTATGGTAAGTTTGATTATGATGATTATGATGATGGTGATGAGGTTGATGATGATGATCAGGATCATGATCGGGATGCGCATCCTGCTGATTATGTTGATGGTACTACTCATGATTGTGATGCAGATGCTGATGATGATGATGATGATGATGATGGTGATGATGCTGATGATGATGATGATCATGATGGTGGTGGTGGTGGTGGTGGTGGATGATGATGCTGATGCTGATGCTGATGCTGATGCTGATGCTGATGATGATGATGATGATGATGATGATGATGATGATGATGATGATGATGATGATGATGATGATGATGATGATGGGGAGGAGGAGGAGGAGGAGGAGGAGGAGGAGCAGCAGGAGGAGGAGGACGAGCAGGGGGATGGCAGAGGAGGAGGGCTTCTGGCGTCATCGCTCGAGTCCAATCAGGCCTCTCCGACTCGGCCCCTCGGCCCACCCGGCCGCGCCAGGTGGCCAAGCACACCAGCAAGACCGACTGCTGGGTGACCCGGACGGGAGCGGCGGGGGAGGCGGCGGGAGCGACGGTACTGAGCCTACGACTGTTGCCCATCTGTTCCCCTCCTCCACGCGTTTTTGTTTTTTGGTGCACAGCTCAAGGGGTAACTTCAGCGCTTCGAGTCCTCGCTTTGCAGGATATGGAAGCCACTGTTTGAGCCGAGCCAGGGGCCCCAATGAGAGTCTGATCTGAGCTGGCCTTGCCCTACACTCTTGTATGATGTCACGCCTCCAGTCGCCTTGTTTTGTCCCGTCTTGTTCTGTCTGGCCTTTGTAATTATATTTATATATACACATATTATGCCATCCTATCACCTCTCCTCCCTCTTCGCTGCCGCTCCTCGCTCCCCGCTCCTCGCTCCCCCTAGAGCCCCATCGCGGGGAGGCGCGCTCCTGCCGCCCACCTCCCCCGATGCGCCCCGAGGTTGTCGTGGCGGGCGAGGTGCTCGACGTGACCTCCTTCCTGAGCCAGCACCCCGGCGGCGAGACGGACGACGGCGGCGTCGGCGGCCGCAGCGTTCGCGGCGGCGTGTGCGAGGACGACGGCGACGGCGTCGGCAGGGCCTGCTGCGATCCGATTCGACATTGGTTCCAGCCGGTCCGATCCGCTTTGGTTCGGACATTCCGGCGACCCGATGCGTCCCGATGTCCGCATGGGCGCCGCTGCGGGTCCAGGCGTGGCCTATGCGGTTCGACGTCGAGCTCGACTTCTGGCTCGTGCAACGCGATCCGGCGCGTGCTCCGATTCGATCGGATTTTTCGATTCGATTCTGACTGGATGATGCGAACGCGACGGCTCGGCGAACTGGCCAGCCTCCCACTCTGCAGATTCTGATATTTTCGGGATCATGGAGACTTCGGGGTGTTCTAGGAGGTTTCTGGAGGTTTCTAGTGTCCAGGCTTCTTAGATGAGGCCGGATTAGATAGGTTTGCGCTGCATCGCCACGATTCTGCTCGATTTGGAGCCTGTTTTGGTTCGATCCCGACGTCGCTCGTGCATCGCCGATGTATCGGCGATTGGGTGGGACCCTCCGACCCCTCTGCTCTGGCCCCGCCTGGGTGGGCTCCACTGTTTTTTTTTGTTGCCAGTTCCAGCAGGTCTTTTGGAAGCCTAGGGGGTTCCTGGTAATTCCAAGAGGCGAGCTGGCCATCCTCACGTTCGCCGGGAAGGACGCCACCGAGGAGTTCAACATGATCCACCCTCCGGAAGGGAGGGTGTCTGACGCCAAGTCGTCGAAGAAAGTGATGTTTGGGGGGCAGTGCAGAGACAGTTTTGCTGCACGGGGCCTGGGACAAGTGACGACGCCCTCTTGGGGGCATCAGCTGCGCCCAGATGCGCGAGGAGCACCAGCGAGAGCCGCACGGCAGGACCCGCGCGGCACCGAGCCCGCCTCAAAGCCACAGTGGACCTTTACCTCTGAGCTCCCTGGGGGCCTGCCAGGCCACCCCACTCGTGGGCGCGAAGGTTCAGGAGAGGAAAAAACACACAGACACAATTAATCGTCGATTCCCAAGAAAATATGGGAAAATATGGGAAGTGGGGGGGAAGACAAAAAACCCAGAAAATGTGAGAAAATATGGGGAATATTTTTATTTGTGTGTATTTATTTGTGTGTCCTGGGGCCCCTTCAAAGGTGCCCCCCCTCGCGGCCTGGGGCGAGCTGGCCCCCTCCGCGGGGCGGCGCGAGGGCGCGCAACGGCAGCCGCGCGGGCGCGCGCCCGGGCGCCTGAGCGCGGGGTGCGGCGGCCTGGGCACTGCTGCCGAGGCGCCTGCGCTCTCGCCCCGCTCTCGCCCGGGCGCCCGCCTTGGGGTTCCTGGGAGCTTCCTGGGGGCCTCTTGGAGGCCCCTTGGGGGCTTCCGTGGGCCTCTTGGAGGCGTTTGGAGGCTCCTCGGGAGGCTCTTTGGCCGTCTGAGGGCGTTCTTGGCCCGTCTGGCGCCGTCGGACGCCGTCTTGCGTGCCTGGGTGGCCCCCCAAGCGGGGGAGGCTCGGGGTTCGGCATCGGGGCTCGGAGGCGGGGGTCAAGGCAGGCAAGGGGCCAGTCAGAGCGCCGGATCTTGCGGGGTCCTGCAGGGCCAGGGGTTCCTTGGCACGGGCCTGCCTGCAGGGGTTTGCGGGATCCTGCAGGACCTTACAAGAAGCCCGACTGGCCCGGGTTTGGATGTATCCTGGTCAGTAGATCCCCGACAGGAGGGCGTGGGTGTCAGAACGTCTAATCGCATACGTGTATAGCGATGTGTGCATATCGAAGACGCCTACGGCGAATCACCGCCGCCCCCTGCCTTTTGGGAAGTGTTTATGTGGCCGAAGTCATCTTGGCCGTCTGGAGGCCATTTTGACCCGTTCGGGCCTTCTTGGAGGACGTCTTGGAGGGCTCTTGGGCCGTCTTGGGGACCATCTTGGCGTCTTGGGGGTCTCTTGGGTCCGTCTTGGGGGCCTCTTGGGCGATCTTTGGGGGCATTTGGGCCGTCTCGGGCCGTCGGAAGGCCGCAAAAAAGCAAATGCCACAATCCTTCAAAAACTCGCGGGAAATCAATGATTTTTGCATTTTTCGGGCCTTCCTGGAGGCCCTCTTGGAGGTCTCTTGGGCCGTCTTGGGCCAGCTTCGAGCCAACTTCGGCCATCTTGGTGGGCTCCTGGCCCGCCTGACGCAGTCGGAAGCCGTTTGGGGGGCCTCTCTGGGCCGACTTGGGGCACTCTTGGAATGCTCCAGGGCCGTCTTGGAGGCCATCTTGGGCGTCTTGGAGGTCTCTTGGGCCGTCTTGTGGGCCTCTTCGGGCCGTCTTGGGGGCCTCTTGGGCCGTTCTGGGGCCATCTTGGAGGCCTCTTGGGCGATCTTTGGGCGATCTTGGGGGGCTCTTGGGCCGCCTCGGGCCGTCGGAAGGTAGAAACAAAGCAAATGCCACAATCCTTCAAAAACCTAAGGAAATCACTGTTTTTTGCCTTTTCTGGCCTTCCTGGAGTCCCTCTTGGAGGCCTCTTGGGCCGTCTTGGGCCAGCTTCGAGCCAACTTCGGCCATCTTGGTGGGCTCCTGGCCCGCCTGACGCAGTCGGAAGCCGTTTGGGGGGCCTCTCTGGGCCGACTTGGGGCACTCTTGGAATGCTCCAGGGCCGTCTTGGAGGCCATCTTGGGCGTCTTGGAGGTCTCTTGGGCCGTCTTGGGGGCCTCTTCGGGCCGTCTTGGGGGCCTCTTGGGCCGTTCTGGGGCCATCTTGGAGGCCTCTTGGGCGCTGTGGGGGCGATCTTGGGGGCCTCTTGGGCCGTCTTGGATCGTCGGAAAGCCGAAAAGGAGCAAATACGAAAAACCTTTAACGACCTACGGACAATCAGCGATTTTAGCATCTTCGGGCCCTCCTGGAGGACCTCTCGGATGCCTCTTGGGCCTTCTTGGAGGCCTCTTGGGCACCCCTTGGGTCGTCTTGGGCCGTTTTGGAGGTCTCTTGGGCGGACTTGGAGGCATCTCCTCCTCTCCTGGGCCGTCTTGGAGGCCATCTTGGGCCATCTTGGAGGCCATCTTGGGCCAACGTGACCATCTTGGAGGCCATCTTGAGGCGTCTTGGGGGATTTTTTGTGGACGCTGAGGTCGTTTGCAGGCTTTCCGCAGGGCCGGCGGGACGGGCCGAAGCCCCAGGGGGAGCTCTTTTGGAAAAAGAACCAACACCAAAACCGAGAGGATTCAGCACGCCAGGCACCCCTGCGATGAATCGACAGAGGGCGGCGGATCTGATGGCCTTCGGTCCATCCCGCCACCGTGTCTGGGTTGTGGGTCAGAGTTCTCAGGGAATGCTTCTTCGGTCTCTTCGGGACGCTTTCGGGGGCCTCGTGGGGGCAGTTTGGGGGCCTCTTGGGAGCCTCCAGGGTGCCTCGTGGGAGCCTCTTGGGGTCTCTTGGGAGCCTCTTGGGGCGTCCTGGGCACCTCGGGGCCGAGGGCTCGAAGTGTCCGTTCGGGTTCCCCATCTGGGCCCCCTCTTGGGGCTGTTTTTGGATCCTCTTGGGCCATCTTGGGCGCCTCTTGGGCCATCTTGGGAACTTCTTGGGCCGTCTTGGCCCTCTTGGGGGCCTCTGGGGCCGTCTTGTGGCGATCTTGGTGGCCTCGTGGGCCGTCTTGGAGCGTCGAAAAACCGACAAGGCGAGAAGGCCAAAAGCAGACAAAAACGGGAGGGAGTCAATGATTGTTGCCTCTTGGGGCCCTCATGGGACGCCTCTTGGAACATTCTTGGGACGTCTTGGGGCCTCTTGGGCCGTGTTGAGGCCATCTTGGGCGTATCGGTGGTACTCTTGGGCCGTCTCACAGGCATCTTCGGCCCTCTTGGGCGCTTTTTGGGCCCATGTGTTGGCCGGCTGCGTTGCTGGAGGACGCACGCGACACGCCCTGAGAAATCCCAGGGAATCCCGGAGGAACCCAAGAAACCCTTGATAATCCCCGGAGGTCCTTGTGAAATTGGTGGCCCAGGCACATTTCTGATTCTCTCAGGGCTGGATGAGCCTCGGGGCACTCTACTACGTGCTGAAGGCACGTTGGCACATACACATACATATATATATATATGTTTACATAATGTCTATAGGTAGTTATGAGTATAGGTCTACACACCTGTATATATGATTCATGGTACACGATATGTGTTATATATGATGTGATTTATACGTATGTATCGTATAGTTTGTTATATATGCATGTGATGTGTTATCCTACGCACCTCTCCGAGGGAGTAGTTCTTAGAGGCGATGAACTGAAGCCGTGATGTTTTTTTTTCTGCCCGTTTCGCACGGGGCACCGTCAACATTCAGAACATCAGACGCGCCTCACTGTCCAAGCCACAATTGATTTTCTAATATGCAGCCTGGTAAAAACAATTGTTTTCAATGACTCTGGACGTAGTTCTGAGCACACAGCCATTTCGCGGGAGACAGCACCCAACATTGAAACCCGACGTATTCAAAATTCTCTTCATGTTCTTCAGAACTGCAGTTTCGCTCGAGACGTCCTCCAACAATTGGCCTCGGAGCATTATTCCAAGCGCAATCGCAAGGTGTACAACCCTCTTCTTCGCCACACGTTCCAAGGTGTGGCACCCTCACCTTCGTTCCACTGCGATCTCGCTATGGCTTCTCCTTCCCAGCAGCCCCCTGGTGATCCTCATTATCCTCCTGCTTTGCTTTTCACTCTGCTTCTCCATCTCCTTCCTCCTCCTTCTCCTCCTGCTTCTCAGATGCGGCTTCATATTCTTCTGCTTGTCCATCTTCAGCGATGTGTACGTGTTGCATGTTTTGGGTATGAGCCTGGGCGCGCACATGCAACTAGTATTCATATACGTCTATAAACACACACTGCTCTTAAGTGTGTGTTCATAAATCAGCATGCTGACATGTTATATACATATGTATGGCTGTACGCATGTGTGTACACATTCGAGCGAAGACGACAAAAACGCAAGTCGCTGTGTTGGCATACCCATGCTCCCATCCTGCCTGGTACACTTTACTACTTGCGCCTCCTGCTCCTTGCCTCCCCTGCTCCTCCTCCCATGGGGTGGTCGTTGGCCAGCGGAGTGCGGGTAGAGGCAGGAGGCAGGAGGAGCAGGTATACGAAGAGCAAGTACAATTTACGTACCTGCTCGTCTTGCTTCTCGTGGCTAGTTCCTGACACTCCCCACCCTCCTCATTACGTCCTCCTCTATCGTTCCATCCATCCCCTCCCTCTCTCGACCTTGCTTCTCCCTCACCGTATTCCCCCCGATCTTCAGATGGCTCTTTTGCTGCGTGTATATTTATATATATGTATATACATACGCATCAGCATCACATCAGCCCGATTCACATGCTGAAGTAGGTACATAGAGATGGCACTTCAAGCAACCATGCGGCACATCTGCTGACAAACATGACTACGGCTTTTACGTGCGTAGGTTTCCAGAACCTCAGTGCCTTCGCCGTCACCTCTTCATCACCATATTGACGTGCTCTCCCGTACTGATGTCGAGACGTCGGAGTAGGGATCACTTTGTGTCGGGAAAGTGGGCTTCCTGCGCAAGTCCCTCTCCAGGTTTCCCTTAGAAGATCTAGGCGCAACTGAGACCGAACAGGGGCTTCGGTGCCAGTCTGACATTCGTTATGCCGCGACCTTGCCTGCCAGAGGTGTGCCCCAACACGAGGGAGGACGGAACGGGCAGGCGATTGGTCGGGTGGGGCAGTCGGGCCCGTGGTCATGGGCGGCGACTTGCATGGGGAGTGAAGAAATAGGGCCCCCAAAAGGGGCCCTGTAGGGCCCCTTGTGGAGCCCGCGGGGGCCCTCTTCTCTACCCCCCCACATCCGAAGCCTGCCCTCGCCGATCAACGATTCTCGGAGGAGGCAGGGGCACCCATTTGCCGCTACCCATGCCTCGTTTTCCCTTCTTTGGGCCTCCTGGCCGGCCCTCGTCGATACCGCTGGATTCGCCTCGAAATCCTAGCCAGAACGCGCCCCGTGGAGTAGCGGTATCGGTACCTTCCTCGTTTCCCCAAGATCGGTTGCGAAATCCGAACCCTACCTTCGCCGATCAACGATTCAGGCAACTCGATGGGCGGCGGAGGTAGGGTTCGGAATTCGTCGAACACGTGGCGGAATCCGAACCCTGCCCCCGCCTCCCATCGATTCGGGAGAATCGATGGTGGGTGGGGGTAGTGTTCGGATGTCGCCACCTAACGACGGACTCCCGGCGGGTTGGTTGGGGGTGCTCGCTTTCGTTTTGGATCGTTTGCGGCCCATTCGGGGCTTTTTCGAGGCTTTTTGAGGTTGTCCTGGGAGTTTTCCGGGTGCGTCTTGGGCCGCCTTTGGCGCATCTTGCGAGACTGGTGACCTGGAGGGCCACCATGTCAGTGGCCCGTAGAGGGGAGGACAAGGACAAGCGAGGACAAGGAGAGGAGGGTCTCTGGCAGCGGACACGGACAAGTGGAGGGGGGTGGTTGGGGACTTCTTGGATGCCAATGTCCAAGAGGCTTTGACTTATGCAACATTTTGGGCTGTCGTTCTCACGCTTCTGGGTGAGGGGGGGGGCCCTCCTTCACACTGGACAGGGGCCCGCGGGATCGAAACACTTCGCCGCGCGCGCCACCAGGGCCCAGCTTTAGGGGAACGAAAAATTACATAAACATACAAACTCGGAGGTCCGCGCGGATTTCTTGGATCGGCGCTGGGGCCCCCAGGCGGCGCCTCCGGCGCCGATCCGAGAAATCCGCGCGGACCTCCGAGTTTTCATGTTTATGCCATTTTTGTTCCCCTATTTGGGCTGTCGTTTTCACGCTTCTGGGTGAGTGGGGGTGCCCTCCTTCACACCGGACGGGCCCGCGGGATCGAAACAACTCGCCGCGCCACCAGGGCCCAGCTTGACGACATGGCCCACAGCTGCAAGACGGCCTTACAATGGCCCCAGAAGGCCTCCGAGACGGCAGGAGGGTCGCACGAGAGCCCCACGACGGCCCAAGAGGGCCCCAAAGCGCCCCTCCGTAGCCACTTTTGCTCAAGGCTTGGTTGCCTAGTGGTCCTGCTTTCACCGCACTAAACCTGTTCTTTGTAGGAACGGTGCACTTCGGCCGCATATGGGCGGCTTTCAGAGGGACTACTCGACTAACCAGCCCGACGTCCCGCAGTTGCCAACTTCGCTGGTGAGCCCCGTCAAAGCGGCCTGCGACTCCGACGACGCGTCCTCGGAAAGCCCCAAGCGCGTGTCGGAGGCGGCGCTCTTGGTTCAGGGTCCGTCCACCTGCGCGCCCGGGGAAAGTGCGTCGCAGACAGTCTGGACGACTTCACCCAGTACGCCGCGTGTGCGCTCTGGGTTGCCTGCAGCGCCGCCGTCTCCGCAATTCGGAGAGCCCCGTGCGGAGGCCTTGCTTTTGGCCCTGGAGCGAAACTGCACGAAGCAAGTGCGCCTCGCCATCGAGGCAGACCCCGAGGCAGCCAAGGAGCCGTTCTGGGACAGCCGCTTCGAGTGGCCGCTCCGCGCCGCGATCCGCCTCAGGTGCAGCGTGGAGGTGGTCCGGCTGCTGATCGAGAACGGCGCGGAGGTCGGCGTAGAGAGCGTCGGGGGGCAGTCTCCTCTCCAGCTGCTCAGCACGGGGACAGAGGATCACCTCATTGATTTGAGGCGGATGTCGAACACTCAGCCGGGCGCCGCCGAGTGGATCGAGAGCATGCGCCAGTCCACCGCGCAGTTCGAGCTGGGCGTGGCCACAGCATTGCTGAACGCGGGCGCAGATCCAGCGGCGCACCACGGAGACCCTCGGATGGGAAGTTGCTCGAGCCTGGAGCTTGCACGGCGCTCCGGGAAAGATCATTTGACAGATCTGTACGAAGCCCATGTCCGTTGCTAACTGTCTTACCCAAGCCAGCAGGATGGATCCCAAATAAATATAAACCGGGGTTTATAATGTTCCAGGATTATTGACCTGGGTTCTTAATGTCTCCCCCGGAACACTGTGAACCTGGGTTTCAATGTCTGGGAATATTGACTGGGGTTCATAATGTTCCCCCCGGAACAATATAAGCCCTGGTTTATAATGTTCTGGGGATATCGACCCCCAAAAACATTCTGGATTGATAATGATTGATCCTGGGGGGCGCCGTTTGAGAGTACGTTCCGGATTGGTATAAACTTTGGTCTTTAACGTTGGGATAATCCATAGGGCATCATCTAAAGCTAAAGAACCTAGGTTTTCATTCCTAGATAATCAACCACGGTCGACGAGGATTTCGGAGGTGACCTCCAAGCCAGGCCATCTCGGGAGCGTGGCGCCCTCGAGCCTGCCTTGATGGGGCCCTGGAGATGATGTGCGGCATCGATTGCCCAGGCCTTCGGACCCGACCTGGAACCGCTTGCCTAATTACAGTTGCTGCAGCCTGTGCAGCCTGTGCCAGGTCGGATTGCTGGGCCGTGCATCTCTTCCGCACCCGGCTGCACGTCTTTCTATTTCGCCTCTCTTGGTCGGGTGCCGAGTCGAGCGGCGGAGGCGTACCCTCCTCTCGCATCAGACACTTCTGCGCCGTGCATGCCTTCTACACCATGCTGCGGCCTCGATGCCCCTCTGCGCCATGCATGTCTTCGCACTAGCTGTATGTCTTTGTACTTCGCCCCTTGGTCGAGTGTCGAGTCTAGCGGCGGAGGCGTCCCTTCCTCTCGCATCAGACACTCCTGTGCCGTGCATGCCTTCTACACCATGCCCGGCCTCGATGCCCCTCTGCGCCATGCATGTCTTCGCACTAGCTGTATGTCTTTGTACTTCGCCCCTTGGTCGGGTGTCGAGTCTAGCGGCGGAGGCGTCCCTTCCTCTCGCATCAGACACTCCTGCGCCGTGCATGCCTTCTACACCATGCCCGGCCTCGATGCCCCTCTGCGCCAGGCATGTATACCGCACCGGCTGCATGTATTTGTATTTCGCCCCTTGGTCGGGTGTCGAGTCTAGCGGCGGAGGCGTCCCTTCCTCTCGCATCAGACACTCCTGCGCCGTGCATGCCTTCTACACCATGCCCGGCCTCGATGCCCCTCTGCGCCAGGCATGTATACCGCACCGGCTGCATGTATTTGTATTTCGCCTCTTGGTCGGGTGTCGAGTCGAGCGGCGGACTCGTCCCCACCTCGGGAAGTCACTCCTGCGCCGTGCATGTCCTCTGCATGTCTTTGTATTTTACGTCTTGGTCGGGTGTCGAATCGACCGGCGGATTCATCTCCTCAGCTGCGACCACGCATGCCCATTGCTTGGCTAGAGGGTAGTTAGACTACGGTTCGCGGTGCGGACCATGGCCGCTTCATGCTTTGGATTCCGCCCGAGACTGCACGACTCCGATTGTAAAGACGATTAGGGGAACACGGCATTTCCTCACACTTTAACGCTCAGTGGCATGGACCCTCCTCTCTCAGCTTGATGCCTTCCTCCCATCATGCTCTCACATCTTCCCCCATTTACAATGTTTCCCATCCTCCTCATCAATACCCGCTCGGAGCCGTCCCGGGTCGCCAGGTTGCGGGAAGTGCATTCTCGCATCTGACGTCGCATGGACGAACACTGTTTTTGGGTTGATCATAGTGTGTAGCTTACGTTCCAAAGACTCGTCAAATGGGCTCACACATGAGCATGGGTTGAGGCCTCTAGACTAAGAGGAAGAAAACAAAAAAGAGGGCCCCAAAGCGCCCCAGGGAACCCGCAAGACTGCCCCACAAGAGCCCAGGACCCAAACCGCGCTCCGCGCTCCGGGCCCCCCCTGGTCCCCAGGTCGGCTGCGAGGACACTCGCGCGCCGTCTGCCCGCACCGAGGCCGCGCGGGAACGCCCTCGGAAAAGGCTGCGCCGCGTGCCGCGACGGCGGCCCGCGCAAGAGCCACCGGCCGCCGCGTGAGGCTGCCGCGCCTTCCCGCGGAGGGCCCCTCGCTTTCCTCGCTCTCCCTCGATGGCTTGCCTTCTTGCGGGCTGGCTGTCGTGCCGCCGCGGGGGCAGGACGTGATCCCGAAGTACGCCCCCGACGCCTGCATCGGCGTGCTGGGCGCGGGAGGTGGCCTGCCTCCCAAGCCTCTGCGGGGGCGCACCACGCGTGGGAGCCAGAGCGGGGGCGGAGGCGGGAGCATTATGGAGAAGGAGGCGCAGGTCGGGAGGAGGGAAGAGGAGGGATCTATGACAGGCGGAGGGAGTAGGCAAGGTGGAGGAGGAGGAGGAGGAGGAGGAGGAGGAGGAGGAGGAGGAGGAGGAACAGGAGGAGGAGGAACAGGAGGAGGAGGAGGGGAGGAGGAGGAGGAGAGGAGGAGGAGGAGGAGGGAGGAGGAGGGAGGAGGAGGAGGAGGAAGGAGAGGGAAGGAGGGCGAAGGAGGCGGAGGACGAGGAGGAGGAGGAGGAGGAGGAGGAGGAGGAGGAGGAGGAGGCGGAGCAGCAGCAGGCGGCGGAACAGCAGGCGGCGGGCGGCAAGGGAGAATAGGAGGAGGAGGAGGAGGAGGAGGAGGAGGAGGAGGAGGAGAGCGAGGGACGAGCAGTAGCATAAAGCAATCCGCCCCAAGTCGCGTCCGCTCCGATCTCGGCCCCCTTTCCTGGACTGGCCTTTCATTTCGTTCAGATCCGTTGTTTGACGGTACCAGGCCCCAGTAAGAAGGGCCTTTGGAGGCCGAGAAGAAGAGTTCGCTTGGGCTTAAGCATCGCGAGCGGGCCTGGGGGCCTGGGCGGGCCATGTACGTATTTTTATACGGCCTTTCTTCACTGAGCTGCAATTGTTGTGAAGCTTGATCTGGAGAAGGCGGATCCGTTTCTCGGCAGTTTTGTTTTTCTTTTTTTTTGTTTTTGTTTTTTTTCTCTTTTAACATATATATATACATAAATATATATATATATATATATATATATATATATTTTGTTTTTTGTTTTTGTTTCCGATTGTTCGCCACCAGAACAGCGATCTTGCAGAGCGGTGGCCAGTCCTTCCTCGGCCCCGCGGCGCCCCCCCCGCCCCCGAGGCGGCGCGGCCCCGGCGGCGGGTGGCGCCGCCCCGGCGAAGGCCGCCGCGGCCGCGGCGGGCGCTCACGGCGCGCGCGACTGGAAGCTGCATAACGACAACCGCAACAAGAGGCCGCGCGGGTGCTGCTGGAAGCGCCCCCGGCCCACGGTGCCCCCCAGGATTTCCGAGGAGGCCCCCGCGCCCTCCTCCAGAGCTCGGAGGGGAGAGGAACAGGTGCCCATGCTGCTGCCCTGGCGCCACTTTTTTTCGCCTTTTGTGGGCCTCTCCGGAGGCCCTCGTCGCCACCGCTGGATTCGCCCCGAAATTTTGGTCAGAGAGCATCCCAGGAGAAGTCCAGGGAGTGGCGGTATCGGTACCTGTTTGTTTTCCCATCACGAGGCCCAGAGGGCCCTAGGGGCTCCAGAATGGAGCGAAAAGCTTGGGGCACCGTGGGCCAGGGGCATCTCCAGCAACACCCGAAGGATGGGCGAATACGGGCGTGTTCCGGAGGGGCGGGGATTGCTGTCGTCGATTGCCATGCCAGAGTCGAAGTTTATCATGATGATGACGGTGGTGATGGTGGTGATTGTGATGGTGATGATGATGACGATGATTATGATGACGGTGTTGATGATTATGTTGAGGATGCGGTGGTGGTGATGATGAAGCTGGTGATGGTCATGGTGACGACCATGGTGACGACGATGATGACGATGAGCGCGCGAACGGCAGCAAGCGGACGGGCGAGTGTTGCCGTATCCCTGAGGGGACTGGCCTCTCCCTTGTTCGGGGTTGTAGTTTTTAAGTTTTTGTTGTTTTTTTTTTGTGTGTGTGGTGTGTGTGTGTGTGTGTGTGCGTGTGCTTTTGCGCGTGCTCCTAGTCTTGCCTGTGCGTGCCCCGCCTGACCAGACCTCCGCTTCTTTGGGTGTTACCGGCGCGCCAGAGGAACACGACAGCGGGCGGATGTGTTTTCGTCCATCTTTCCTCATCTTCTCGCGGCCACGGTTGGACTCCTATTGAATTTTATGCCAGAGCGCATCCCACGGGCGGCCAAGGACGCGTCCCCTACGCGCTTGCAAGTTTCTCACCTGCTGGGCTGGGTTCTCGAGTCCCGTAGTGCACTGCTAGCGCATGGTACGAATTCGTTGGGCATCCCGATCCTGCCGTGATCCTTGACGCCCCTGATTGGGTAGCCAGTCGCGGTGGGGGAGGGCTTCTCACTGCGACGTGCGGACGGGAAAGACGAGTTATCATTCTCTACAGTCGGGTCTGATTAGTGGTCGACCTCGGAGAATCAAGGGTACCCTTGCGTCCGGTCTTTCGCGCTTCATGCCCTCTGCATGTCTCGGAAGAGAGTTTAGTCCTCTCGGGTGCCCTCTACAATCAGTTTCGATTGTATTGCGCACGTCGGTCGCCAGAGCATCCGATATTCATTTGCAGCATTGACATGGTCTGTACCACAACCACCACCTCTTCCTTCTGCCCGTTGGAGCGTGAGCGAAAGTTCTTGTCACGGGCTGTGCGCTGGCAGGGGTCGCGGGCGGCAAGACAGTAGAGGGAGGTTGGAGGAGGAGGAGAAGGCAGGAGGAGGATGAGGAGGGAGCGGCGAGGAGGGAGGAGTGATGGGCGGGCGCGGCGAGGATAAGGAGGAGCAGGGATGAGGAGGGGGAGGGGGATGAGCAACGGGAGAATAATCATGTGAAGCATGAGGGTGATGTGATGAAGGACTGGAAGGAGAGGAGGCGGCGAAGTGGGGGGAAGCTGAGGGAAAGTGAGACGGGGAATGAGTCAGGGAATGTGAGGAGCACGCGTGAGACTCAAGAGTGAATAGCGCACTTCCTCGGACTGGGGTCAAGCTTCGGTCTGTCCACTGGCCATCGGGTGTGGAGGGGCCCATTGGGGCTCTCATCTACATGGTCATCGCATTCATGAAGGAGGTTCTCTTCACTATCTTCGGTCAGAAGAACTTCCAGTTCACCAACGACCGCATTGGCCTGACGCGCTCCGCGATGTTCATGTTCATCTTCATCATCATCCATGCAGTGGGCAACCTGCACGTGTTCCTCGGCCCGGACGACTTCAACGGATACGGATATTTCTACGTCCGCCTCTATTGGACCGGCTTCGGCTTCAACGCCAACATCGTGGAGGAATATATCTTGCTCGCCGCGCTGCTCCACGTGGCGGTGGGCCTGAAGCGCACCTGGGACATTTCGATTAACTACACAATCGCATCCGGCAAGCTCAACCTCGCGATCTCGGGCGTCACTCTGCTGACCTTCATGAGCATCCATCTGTTCCAGTTCCGCTTCGGCGAGACGCAGCCGTTCGAGCTGTGCCCGCCGCCGTACTTGATCAACGTCGCCACCCTGCTGGAGTTGAGGCTGAACCTTTTCTGGGTCCACGACGCCGACTGCGTCAAGGCGAGCGTCCGCGACATCTACCGCATGGAGTTCGAGGTCTTCCAGTCCCTCGGCTGGTGCCTCTTCTACATCAGCGCCGTGGCCATCTTCGCCACGCACATGTGCCTCGGCTGGCAGAAGGCCGTCCCTGCGCCCGCGCTCGAGATCCCGAAGCGCTTCCACAACAAGGCGATCCACATCGGCTACATCATGACGGCCTTCATCGCGCTGGTGTACGTGAGCTTCCCGGTCACAGAGCTACAAAAACACACACACAAGTATCAGAGGTCCGCGCCGATATATTTTGGGTCGGCGCTGGACCCCCCCCCCTCCCCACACCCTCTCCTGGTGTGCTGTGCTCCACGGGGTCGGCGCCAGAGGCATTGCAGTGCGGGGCTTGACACAACCCATTGTACACTGCATCTCTCCACTCCGCCGCCGATCCAATCGTCGACGATGCTCGTTCAGTGCTGCATCGCAGGCGATCTGGCCCGAAGGGCCCCTAGGCGGCGAAACGCATAGCTTCTTCTTTGTCTCCGTCTTCGTCTTTTTCTTCTTCTTCTTTTCGCGCGAGTCTCGATTCAGAACAAGAGGCGCCGCCAGTGGTGGCCGTCATGCGTTTTCCTTCTCACCGCGCCTCCCCCCTCGAAGCAGCAAAGCTGGACAAGCGTGACAATTTGTGAAGCTCTGCGCGGACTTCTTGCATCAGCGCTGACCTCCCTCGGCAGCGCCTCCGGCGCCGCTCCGTGCACGATCCTCGGGGCTCAAGGGACGGGGGTCAATTCAAATGGGGCTCAGCCAGAACGCCCGATCTTGCAGGATCCTGCAGGGCCAGGGGTGCACTGCCCGGGCGCAGGATTCTGCAGGATCTTTCAGGATTTTGCAGGATCCTGCAAGACCTGATTGACCCGGGTTTGCACAGACCCGGGTCAGTGCGTCCCCGAGTTCCGCGCGCAAGGGCGGGGGTCTGGCGCCGATCTAAGAAGTATCTGCGCGGAGCTCCGACAGCTCCTGTTTCTGTGCCGTTGTCCTTCCTCAGCGCCCCCCGCCGGACTGCACAGTCTGCCCGGACCCAGCGTGCTGGCGTGCGGGGCTCCGGCCTGAAGAGCCGAGGGGCTGCCAGGCCTCGATTCTGTTCTTTTTCTTCTACGTGCCCTCAGTATCGTTTGACCGACCCCTATCCCCATCCCCATCCAGACCCTCGCCATCTCGGCACCCCAGTTGGGGATATACCCCTCGAAACCCGAGGGAAACGGCCTAGATCCCCATCCAGGGGGGTTAATCGGCCAGTGGGGCCCCAGGCCACGCCCATGGGGATAGGGGTCGGTTGAACGATGCTCAAGCCCCCCCCCGACGAGAAACCCGTCCAGAGCGTGTCGGAACGCTCTCCGAGCCTTCCGGAACGCTCTGAGGAGGCCGCCGCCCCCGCGACGTCCTCCAGAGCCGCCGGAGCTCAGAGATTTCCGATTTTCCTCACCCGAATTTATCCTCGTCCTGATTTCGTCTTATCTACCCCATGATCGATCTCCCAAGGGTAATTACTCTTGCACCCTAGCCTCTTCGGTCATCGTCGGTCCATCCTCAGCCATTTTCGATGGCTAGCCCCGCTCGAAAAGCTTCGACACGCTTGCATCCTTGCCGCACGTGCTTCATATCAGGTTTGCCTGTATCCTCCCCCAGCTCTACACCCACCCACCCCAGCGTAGACCCCCCTGTCGCCCCCCCCCCCCCCCCCAAAGGGGCGACGCGCGCACCGAGAAACCTTTCAGTTGGTCTAAGCTCCGTGGCGGGCGCTTTCTGGCCACACCGCTCGGGAAGCGTCGTACTGCCAGGTGGGGTAGATGTTCGGGTCGGACGCACGCCTCCAAGGAGCACGCATAGCACCAGTATGTCCTGCTGCGTTCCCCCCCCAAGCTCTACACGCACATCTTCCCGAGATTCGACGGGGCCATGACCCCCCAGCCCCCCACCCTGGGGCGGGCGGGAGCGCGCTGGGCCGGGCCCGCGCCCGGAAAGGAGCTGTGTGTCCGCGGGGGCGGGGGGCGGCACGGGTGGCGGGGCTCCTCCTCCTCCTCCTCCTCCTCCTCCTCCTCCGCCTCCTCCTCCCTCTCCTCCTCCTCCTCCCCCTCCTCCTCCCCTTCCCCCTCCTCCCCCTCCTCCTCCCCCTCCCCCCGCTTCCTTGTTCTTGGTGGCCTGAAGATCCAGCGGACGTTGCCCTCCCCCCTCCCTCCCTCTTCCCCCTCCTCCCCCCCAAGCTCTACACGCACGTCTTCCCGATGTCCGACGGGGCCATCACCCCCGAGGCCCCGCTGCCGATCCCCGTCGCCGCCGGCCCGGCGTGAGCGCGTGCGGCCCCTCGATGGGCCTCGCTCTGCGCGGGCAACCTCTCTCGGGGCCTCGCCCCGCTCGGGCGGCCTCGCCAGCCGCCGTCCTCTCTTTTCGAATCGGTCGCGAAACTCGAACCCCACCTCAGAGGAGGAAGAGGTGCCGATACCGCTGCACTTCCCTTGCTTCCCCCTTGGCCCTCCTGTGAGGGCTTCGTCGAGACCGTTGGATTCGCTTCGAAATCCTGGTCAAAACGCACCCCGGGAGAGGTCCGGGGAGTAGCGGTATGGGTACCTTTCTTGTTTCCCCAGAACAGGTTGCGAAATTCGAATCTTACCCTCGCCGATCAACGATTCGGGAAACTCATGGGCAGCGGGGGTAAGGTTCGGAATTCGTCAGACGTGGGGAGATCCAACCCTACTCCCGCCTCCCATCGATTCAGGATTGTCGATTGGATTCGGATGTCGTAACGGCACAAACACAATTTTTGACGCTTCGCGTACCCTGGCCCTCACCGGATTCCCAGCCGCCTCCGCAGCTGGCAGCTTCCACCCCTCGGCGCAGCCCAGCCCCGGCGCAGCTTCCCTCGGGGGTAGGATTAGCCTGCTTGCTCGGCGCGCGCCGGCAAATTAGGTGCTCGCGGCCCGTGCTACTCTACTGACGCTGTCGGCGCGCTCGCCTGCAGTTGCGACGAACAAGAAATGACCCACCGGTCCATCCAGAAACAGATCGCCAGGCGAGTTTGCCTCGATCAGGGTCGTGTATAAGATTGCGTTGTAATAACCTCATTGGAAACGTTTTCTCGGAGGTCTGTCTCTTGGAGCCATCTTGGGGCTCTCTTGGGGTCCTCGCGGGGCCTCTTGGGGCACTCTTGAGGCCCTCTTGGGTCTCTCTTTGGGCCGTCTTGGGGCCTGTTGGGGGGGTCTGGGAGGCCTCTTTGGCCATCCTAGCTTCCATGACTCAAAAAGAGGGGGGTAATAATTCAGCCCCCCACCTGGGAGTTTCAAAAATGGCATCTTGAGGCCCTCTTGGGGCCCTCTTGGGCCCTCTTGGGCCGTCTTGGGGCCGTCCTGAGGCCTGAAGAGCTCATCAGAAGCGAAAAGGCGAGAAGGCACAAAGCATTGATGTTCCTTCGGTTTTGGAGCCATTGGCCTCGGGATGGTCCTTGGAGGGCTCGGACTGCACTTGAAACCGTTGTGGGGTCGTCTTGAGGCCTCTTGGATGTTCGTCGGAGGCTATCTTGAGTCTTCTTGAAATATCTTGAGCAATTTGTGAGGCCATCGTGGGCTCTCTGAGACCCTCATACAGCCATGTTGGGCCATCTTGGACGCTCCCCCCCCCCGGCCCAGGGTAGGGGGTAGGGGGAGGGGTCAAGGCACCTCCTGGATAGCAAGCCGTTTAGCTCACCACCGGGATTGTCGGGGGTGGGATGCTCCTGTGCGCGTTTCGCGATGCCCGTGTCCCAGCCCCCCCACCGTGCCTCGGTTGCGCCCGAGAGTCAGCTCCCTCCTTGCTTTCACCCCCGCGCCGCCTCCCAAAAGGGGGGATGCCGCATCGTTGTGCGACGGTTCCTTTGTCATGCGCGTCGCGCGCAGGGGTCGCGCTGTCCGCATCGGTCGCTCTGCGACCTCCGCAACGGCGGAACGGTCTGCCCGAAAATGCGCGTCGCTGTGCGACTAGTCATTCGTCGGGCGTGTGGCGCGTCAAAGGAGGACGGCGCCTCTTTGCGCGACTAGTCATCAGTTGCGCGCGTCGCGCGCGGGGGTCGCGCTTCGCGCATCGGTCGCTATGCGATTTCCGCAGGGATGGGGAGTCTCTCCTGGGGCCTTCCGGGTTTCTTGGGGCTTCCTGAACTCCCGGGGCCTGGCCTCTTGGAGCCTCGTGGGGCCACTGGAGTCTCCTGGGGTTTCTTGTGGCTCCTTGGGGCATCCTGGGGTTTCCTGGGGCCAGCTGGGATTTCATGGGGCCTCTTGAGGCCTCCAGGGGCCTCCTGGAGCCTCCTGGTGCCCCGTGAAGGTTCCCGAGGTCTCCCTGGGACCTCCTGTGGCTTCCAGGAGCGCTTTGAAGCTTCATGGTGCCTCCTGGGGCAGCCTGGAGCCTCCTGGTGCCTGTTGAGGTATTCCTGGGGCCTCCTGCGATTTCCTGGGGCCTCCTGGGGCCTCCTGGGGGGCGCCCTTCCTCACGCGAGCGAGGTCGAGCAGGAGTCTGCGTCCATGTGCTGCGCACAAGGGGAGCAAGGCGCAGCCCGCCGTCCGCACCGCGTGGGGCTGGGCGAGCGAACTCTCGCCCGCCGACGTGGTGCAGCTGGCACTCCGCCGAACGCTCCGACCCGTCGGGGAAGGCCTGGGCCATTTTTCGGAAGGCCGAGGGACTCCCGAGCCTGCTGAGAAGACTTCCTCCTTCTCAGTTCCCCCCCCGTCGCTCGCCGCCGATGTAAGCGAATGCCCGGCCAAGCCAGGAGGGCTGATACGTTATGCTTACGCCTTCGCGAATGTTCTGCTTTCACGGACCCTGGGCCCAGGGTGGGCCTGGCTAGGATTGGTGCGGATTCGTGCACTGCCGCTTGTTGACAGTGTGTGTTCTTTAACTCCCAACCCCCAAATTGTATTTTGAGCGCCATCCTTCCCCAAACTCTAGGCCTCCCAGATGGGGTCCGAACAAGTGGGGTCAGAGGATCGCGCCGCATCGTCGAAGCATCGGCGATGCGGCTCGATGTGGAGATTTGCTTCCCGTCGGCGTTGCCGATGCATCGCCCACGTCGACGATGCATCGCCGGTGTGTAGCCGATGCATCGCGATCCTCCGACCCCATCTATTCCGACCCCATCTAAGAGGCCTCTACCAGGGTGGGCCTGGCCAGGATTGGTGCGGATCTGTGCGCTGCCGCTCGTTGACAACACGTGTTCGTTGATTCCCAGCCCCCAAGCTGTTTTGAGCGCATCCTTCCCCAAACGGTGCTTGCATTTGGGGGTCCTTCCTTCTCTTCGGAGGAACTCGTGCTGAATGTGTGTCTGGTGGTTCCGTGCTCGCCGTCGCCGCCTCGTCGCCGCCCGTCGTCTAGGCCTGAATCGCGGCTTGGCGGCTCCATGCTCGCCGCCGCCCACCAATCGCCGCCCCGTCGCCGCCCCGTCGCCACCCGTCGTCTGGGCCCGATTGTCGGTCTGGCGGTTCCATGGTCGCCGCCGCAGCCCTCGTCGCCGCCCCGTCGCCGCCTATAGTGTACAGCGTAGACGGCGCCACGTAGATTCTCCTGTCTAAAAAGAGAACAGACTCTACCCCCCCTGGAGTTATCGCCCCACCCCTTTCGGGTATGTAGATCACATATGATTCTGACCACATGTCCATCCTGAATATGAATCACAATGTCCTAGGCCAACCTGTATCCCCCCCCCCTGAGGGTCCCTTGTTAATAACACTATGCGGTGACATGTTTGTTCAAACATAGCACTTTTTCACGAATCCCTTGCAACAAATGAGACGAAGTGCACACGCGCGCGTCTTCGCGCGCGCATGCCGAAATCCTTCAAAAACCTTCGGTGCTGGAAGGGTTTGGCAATCGAGTTTCCAAGCAGCATACAAAAACGCAGGGTTTCGCAACACTGATTTGCTAGAAAAGCTTCCGCGCGAGCTCTTGCGAAATCGTAAGAAAACCATAGGTTTTTCAAGATTTTCACAAAATGCTATCAAACGGGCTTCGCGCGCGCATGTCGAAATCTGTCGAACGCCCTTGCACGTGTGCCGTCGCGAGAATCCTTTGCAACAAATGGGACGAAGTGCAGACGCGCGCGTCGTCGCGCGCGTATGCCGGCATCCTTCAAAATCCATCGGTTTCGGAAGGATTTCAAAATCGTGTTTTCAAAAAACCTACAAACACCCAAGGTTTCGCAACACGGATTTTCAACAAGCGTGCGCGCTCGCTCTTGCGTCGTCGGCGTCTTCCTTCCTCCCTCGTCGTTGTCGTCGTCGGCGTCGCCGTCCTTCCTCCTTCTTCGTCGTTCGCGTCGTCGCCGTCCTCCCTCCTCCCTCGTCGTTGTCGCCGTTGTCGTCGTTGTCGCCGTCGTCGTCCTCCCTCCTCCCTCGTCGTCGTCTTCGTTGGCGACGTCGTTGTCGTCGTCGTCGTCGTTGTCTTCGTCGTCGTCGTCGTCGTCGTCGGCGTCGTCGTCGTCGGCGTCGTCGTCGTCGTTGTCATCGTTGTCGTCGTCGGCGTCGTCGTCGTCGGTGTCGTCAGTATCGTCGTCGTGGTCGCTGTCGTCGTCGAAGTCGTTGTAGACGTCGTCGGTATCGTCGTCGTCGGTGTCGGCGGCGCCGTCGTCGTCGTTGTCGCTGTCGTCGTCGGCGTCGGTGTCGTGGCCAAGTGCCATCTGGTACCTACCGTCACGGTCTTGTCTTAAGAGGTCTTGCGACCAAGTTGCGGGTGGAAGGGTGGGATGTTTGCACGAGCAGTGGAGAGGACAGCTTCAAGACGGTCAAAGTGAATTGCACCACATAGATTGCACAACATTTACATACATGTATATGTGTATGTCCTGTATATGTATATGTATATGCATATGTATATGTATATATAGATGTAGGTACACATGCATATGCATATGTATGTCTATATATATGGGTATATATACATAGTGCACCACACAGATGGCACCGCGTCGACTGCACCATATGGATTTACAGCATAAGTTTCACCGTATATACAGCAGCATATCGATTGCACCACATGGTTTGCCCCACAACTATTGCACAGCATAGGTTGCACCACACAGATTTCAGAACATATCTTGCACCACGTCGATTGCACCGCATAGCTTGCACCACGTAGGGTGCACCACATAGATCGCACCAGGCCGATTTCACCACACATTTCGTGCACCATATAGATTGCACCACATTGATTGCACCACATTTATTACACAAGCTAGATCGCACAACATATATTCGACCACGTAGATTGCACCACATAGACGGCACCACAGACATTGCTCCACACACGTTGCACAGCCTGTACGCAACATATATTGCACAACACAGAACGGACACTATGTTTTGCACCACGTACATTGCACCACATAGATTGCTCCACCTAGATTGCACAACGTATACTGCTAGAAACACTGCTTCCTTGATTCGTGAATCG